CTTGGGGCAGTGCCGCAGGATGCTCGCCCCAGGCCACCAAACGGGTCGAGCACTAGGAAGGGGAAACGGGCAGAGGAGAGCCCCAGTACACTGTCGGGTTGCCATAGTCCAGGGAAATGCACTGAGGCAGGGTGAGAAGGAAAGGCGGCAGGGTCATCTGATAGGAAGTTTGGAAGGATTGGCAGGCAACTGATTTTTCCAGCTGCCCCCTTAAATCCCTAGGGCCTCCGCTCAGCCTGGCAGTGGCAGGAAGGCTTTGCGAGCTGAGCTGGGGCGGGACAGAGCTTTGCATAGGTTTACCTGCAAGTACCTACTGTTGGGAAACAGTGCTGAGCTTTGGAGCTTTGGGTGTTGCAAATACAAGAACGAAGCCATGACCTAGCGTGTTACCCCAGGCAATTTGTACAAGACACCAGTGCTGTGGGCAGTTTCCCCCTCTAGAAAAATGCTTGAAAATGGCAACATTACTACATTTGTATCTGGAGGTTTTTCAATGCCCAACACCTTTTTCAATCTTATTTTTGCCATGCATAGTGCAGTGTTGTGGGTACTGCTCCTGCGTGCGCCTGGGTGGATTTTCACCAACATAGCTGTGAGCAGAATTCAGCCCCTTCCCCTGCCAGTGCTCACATTTTGGCTGTAGTGCAGGACGCATGGAGGATACAGGGACTAAAAGATGCTACCTGATTTCAAAGGCACAAAACAGCCAGCAGTGGACCTTGGTGCCCACACAAAACCTTCAAATGCAGCTGTCCCGTGCAGAGCAGAAGCAGCGCAGCATGGTTGCTTGTGAGGTTTTTCTGGAGAGGCTCCTCTGGTGATTCGCGGGGAGGGTTGATGCTCAGGTTGCAATGGAAGCAGAAGCAGGATCAGTCTTTTCTCTCAAGGTGCCAGCTGCACCGGGGTAGTCAGTGGTTGGCAGCTTTGAGAGCAAGCCCTCTTTGTCAGGTTTTTTGAACTTCTTGATTGGGATTGGGATGGGGGTGGGTGAGCTGAGAGGCACATGCCATACAGAGAGAAAACAATTACGTATACCTTTTTTTCATAGGAAACCAGCCTAAGTGTCAGGAGGCACACCTCCAAGCAAGACATGTATAAAATTATCGATGTATTAAAAAGGTATGGTTTTTGTTTCTGCTTTCTGAGTACTCACGTTTTCAAACTTTTCTCCTCTGCCTTGAGAGCTAAGGTCTTACCTTTCTCCCATCCTTCTTTTTCTAAGCTAAAACCGGAACTTGCACCTGTTCCTGTAGTGAAGAGCTGGGATTTTCAGGGAGTAGCATCCAGTGTGCAGAAAAATGGTAGGGCTCTGTGAAGGCTAAAAGAAGAGTCAAGCAAGGGGAAGAGTTATCTGGGAGAGTCAGACCAGCATAGAAGTAGTTTACAGGGGAAGGGGAGTTTAAATTTAAATATATTTTAAGTTTGGAGAACGTATGTGTATGTGTGCTGTATATTTATTTTCTCTGTGTGAGAAAGTTCAGGAAGACTCTTTCAGCACTGCTGTGTAGAAATCCAGATAAGTTGTGCTCCTCCTCCAGAGCGCTTTCAGGGCTGGCCCAGGGAAAGCTCCTGAGCGGAAATCCTTCATCACTTATTTGTTTATGAGTCTGCTGAAAAGCAGCACAATTTGCCACCTGAAACTCAGTAAAATGGCTACTCTTCCCATGCAAGGCTGAGCCAGGCCACGAGCCCCTGTCCATACCGCCTGCTGTGCAGGGAGAAGATATGTGACCCTTGCTAGCAAGGAAGCCCAAGTCCAGGCTGGGTGGAGGGAGAGTGGGAAACCTCCTTGCATTTTGCTGTCTGAAATGTAATAAAAATTACACCCACCTGCTCCCCAATGGGAGTTAACTGCCGTTTGGTTCTCGACGCAAAAATGTCTGTCTAATAGCTGCTCCCTGCGTTGCGTTTGGTGAGCTAAAGGTAGATACCTGGCTCAAAAAGTGCTTCTGGCACCTGCAGAAAGCTACCTGTAGATATAAGGTCAATGACTGAGCTTGAAGAGTGGTCTTGATGCTGTCCCCTTCTCACCAGCTGTCTCCACGAAGAGGAGTGAGGATGGAGTGGGAAGGCATCGCAGCAAAGGCCGAAGATTGTAGATAAGTTGGCCTTCCTGACTTCTAGCTCTGACAACCTTCAGACGCTCTGCAGGCCTGGCAGTGCAGCATGATTAGGATCAAGAGGAGAAAACTGTGGGCATCTTGCTTCTGCTTTACAGCTGCTTTTTTCCTTGTGGCGACGCTCCAGGTACAGGGAGGGATAAGGGGGAGAGAGGGCTGCATGTGATTGCACACAAAATGGGATGCAGTTCTGGCAGACCAAAGAGACCATTAAAGGCAGCAGGCATCTTCTGTACTGGATGTTGCTTTAGGAGGAATTTGTGTAAAGAAATGCTGTCAGAAGCGTTGTCCTAGTGGTAATAGCTGACTCCAGAAGTGACATTACACAGAGTTAATGAGAGCACCTTTGTTGCACAGCTCCTCTGATGCTGAAGGAGTTTCTCAGAACTAGTGTGCTATGCCCTGTTGCATTGCCTCCATCCAGTATTGCCTTCTCTGTCTCCTCATGGCCACGTGTTTGAACTCATGGAGTGGGAAAGCAAGGCTGGGCCTGTTTCATATAAAAGTGGCTGACAGCCAAGGAAAGTCTGAGCACATCACTAAGTAGTCATGGGAACTCTGTCCAGAAGTCCTGATTCAGTGGCCATTCTTGGCATAGGGAAGTCCAGCAGCTGGTCAGTTAAAAGATGTCTGAGAGAAAAATCGGTGTGGAGGCATATTGATTTATGGCTGGGGCAGGGCCGTCCAGTCTTTAAGTAAAAGAGGGCAAATTTTAGACAAATTGAGACAGCCTTGGCCTGTAGTCATGGGACTTTTGGAGACTTTAGTCATCTGAAGGTCAGGATCTGTCCTAGAGAAGTCTTTGCATTCGGGCTGGGCCCTTAACCAAGGTCCTGGCTGAGGCCAGTAACTCAGATAACTCCCAGTGGAGCCCTCAGGATGAGCTTCCGAGATGGGAGTGTATGCTCTCCAGCTCTCCCAGGCCAACTGCCTCCTCTAAATTGGAACCACTTCTATAGGACAGTTGCTGTCACCTCAATAGTCTATTTTGGTTCTGCTCCTTGACACAGCATCCCATGGTGGTGTGGCTACCCTAGCCTGGGAACAAAGCTAGCAAGTCTTCTGCAACTTTATGGGGAGGGTTTGTGACACCACTGCAGCTCCACAGCTCAGCAGGTTCGGACCTGGTTAGAGCTGCCTTTTGTCTGTCTGGGTTTATGTTTGGGAGTGTCCACTGCACAGTCAATTGTCCAGGGTCATCCTGATGGCTTTTGCTGGAAAGGGCTGGTGCCCCTGTGCTGGACTTATCCCCATGAGCTGTGGATATAGTGGGGATGTCTTAGTCCCCCGGAGTTCAGAGAGAGCTACCAGACATTTTGCACAAATACAGACACTCCTTAAATTCTGCTAGGGCAGAATATAAACGTAAAAAGGGAGCGCGTGCCTGGAGAAACCGGGACATGCGGTCATTCTAGACTTATTTGAACTATATTAGTATAGTTATACCTTACTGAACTGTTAGACATGTGAATCTTTTCCCCCAGCCAGTCTCCTCTCCTCTTGCCAGCGTGGGAGTGTTTTCTGTATTGTTCCGTACAGCTGCACTCTGCACAGCGTCCTGTGTGTGCTGTCCCGGTATCCTGTGTTTCACAGAGGCTATTTAGTCTAGTTACAGTCACTGCATTTTACTGCACAGTGAGAGCGAACGACACAGCAAACAGCAAAATGAATACAAGCAATAAAGCTATCAGGGAAGATAAATGCTTTTAACCAACTTAGTATAAACAACGCTCTCCCACTTTTCAATACTCTCCTTCAGAGGCATCTGAAAAGTCAGTGCTGTGAGCCAAAGCTGTCGGATGGGTGAAAGTGCCCGCTGTTATTCTTGCAGCTGTTTGTGGCATGGTATTAGGCACTGCCCATAAAGATGCACAGACAAAAAAAACTGTTTGCACAGTAACAGGAAGGTTTTAGCCCCACTAAAGCTAGGAGCAGTTGCTGTGTATCCTGCAGCAATACCTACTTGTACCGTTTCTGCTGCTTCGCTTACCTTCCCTCAAGAGACTTCTCTGCCCAAGAACACTTTTGTAAGCGGTACTACTTGTAGAGAAAAGTGGTGGTTTCATGGGCGCCACAACTACTGAGGACTGGTTTTTGTGGATTTTTGTTTTGTGGTTGATGGTGAGCAGTTGTAGAGGCTTCTTCCGTGGGGGGGGG